TGTCTCCCTGTCAGTTAGAGGCACAGAGACCTCCTGGGGGCAGTGTGGGGGTGTCTCCCTGTCAGTTAGAGGCACAGAGACCTCCTGGGGGCAGTGTGGGGTTTTCTTTATCACAGACATGCAGGAGGTCACCCTCCCCCCGTGTTTATTTAGCAACATCTCTCGCCACTGCGGCTTCCCAGCACAGCTGGTTAATTCGTCAGACTGATTCCCCCCACACAAACGAATGCATATAATACCTCCTCATCCAGTCGATCACAGTGACTACCCCACCCTCACCTCCCCCCATCCATCCATCCATCCATCACAGGGTGAGGATGAGTCTGCAGCAGGACGAAGAGCAACACCTTTAACGTAATTTCAGCACAGGACACTCAGCTCCTCGGGGAAGCAGAGAAATTCCTCGGCGACTTCAAGGTTTATCTCTGAAGCGCGGTTAAACCGGAGCGGATGCATTACCATGGCATACGGCACTATATCTATGGCGACAGATACAGCAGCACATTATGGTCTGTGAAAAGTCTCAGGGCTGTTTATTCAGTGGTGAAAAGCCATCCAAATCGCTTCGAGAAAAACCTATAAACACTGTATTCTTCTTCCAATTAAGCCCCAAAAAAAGCCATTTTCACTAAACGAGTGCAGGAGTTGGATGTGCCAGATGGAAGGAGCAGACAGCGATGGCGAAAGCGGCAGTTCACCGGTAAAATAATGACACTTCAAGCTCAAAAGTGTACAGGGGAACGGATGAATTATTTAATGCATTCGGAGATGTTGTGCTTCCATGGAACTGAAAGCCAAATAAGGCAGCGGAATAGCGGCGCAACAAAAAGCATAATTAACCTTTGAAATGTGTGCGATGCATCTGATCCCTAAATTAATTAACAGGTTGCGTTTCCATCGTATCATAGACCTCAGCCGGCTGCCGCCATGGAGACATAGAGCGATTTTCACACGACTTTAACACACCTTGGATAATAATAACAAACTTAGTTAATTAATTCAAATCAGCTTTGCTGGTGGGGGGGTAGCGGGTATTCTGTGTATATATGTGCAGAGTTCAGTATGTAGACCATGCAGTGCTGTAGACCATGCAGTGCTGTAGACCACGCAGTGCTGTGGACCACGCAGTGCTGTAGACCATGCAGTGCTGTAGCCTGCTGTGCGAGACCACGCTGGTTTAGATAACACTGCTGAGCTGCATCGGTCAATGTGAGTTGGAGACCTTTGGCTGCCCCCGTGACCGCAGCACTGCGCTCAATTACAGCCCTGGGGGGGCTCCTCTGGGCCGCTGAGCCCCACGTGGATCCGGCAGATTAGCCACATTAGTTTCAGATATTCACATTCGCTCATTGTGGCTTCTTCAGATAGCACTGGGCTTTGAGAGCTAATAGATTCCACAGCGGGAGGCGGGGGGGGGGGCT